CATGACCAAAGAAGAACATAATATATGATAAAAAGAAAAAGAAATAGTAGTCATTCGTCTATGTAGTACGGATTTGCCTATTTTATTTGGTTTTATACGTGACTGCATATAAAACATATTACATCTCGATGAAATAATCGAAAGTAAAATTGGTCATCAGATTAATTGATTACCACAGAAAATCTGATACAAGTTTAAATTAATTAATAAATAAAGATAATAATAAAATTCTAATGAATATTAAAATTAGGAATTATGAAGAATTCCTTTTAAAAATTTCACCTTGTCTCCATTATTATATTCGTTTCATAATTTGGAAATTCTATCTGCGTAAAAATGTATTTTTTTTCCCATGTCAGTTACTTCCCTGTATTAATAATTTTATTAAATCGATTAAAAATGTTTTTATTTGGTGATCATTTAACCTGGTAACTAATTTTATCCGAGATAAATTCACTGAATGTTAAACATACTTGTATTATGCACGATACGTATAGAAATATTTAACTAGACAAAATATAAAAAATTACATTTTTTAATATATAATATACAATACCATAGAGTAGTATAATACAAATTGATATTCGTTATGACTCTTCAAGATGTATTGAATATATTTTAAGTTCAGTTGTGGCTGCAAGTGATCGTGAAAAAAAGTTGATACGGACTGATGCAAATATTGATAAAAATTATTTAAGAACGAAGTGAGATAACTAAATACGCTAATGGAAATCTTTGGGTGATCACGTCGAAATGCTTTTAACCAACTCATTTTGCATGTAATAGTCGCAAGATACGTACGCCGATTGTATACCTACACTACCTAACAGCATACCTGTTTTATTTAATAATTTGATTATTTTTTTAAACCGTAATGTCGTTATATTTCCATCAATCGTATGCGGAAAAAAAAATGTGTATATATAAAATCAAAATACATTCAGTAACTATTTTAAGTTTACTTGAAAAAGTTGTCCTGAATATTTAATAAATGTTCTTCGTTATACACCAAAATTCGAATTCTCTTTATATTCTTTTATAAATACTTCCCTAAAACGTATTTCATACGCATTATCAACAGAAATGTTGAATCTAATTGGCATATTAAAATAGCTGGCTCTAAATATTAATTTTTTAAATCCAAAATGTATTGTAACCAATGTATCATTAGTTTCTTTAACTACTGTTCACGCAACTGGCCATATTTGTCAAGACGAGGGGCGCAGAAAAATTGTTGTCCATATTTTTGTTACAGTTGGCAACTACGAAAAACTTCGGTGGGATAGTGTTCTCGACCGAAAACACGTGTTATTGAAGGGCCCGTGTATGTCACGTACGTTTTTTGATATATGCTGTCCCTGTTTTATTTTTTTTATATATTCAACCGTTGTGTAGTTTCACGGACCTAAGTCATTCGGGTTTTATGTGACTCGTCACAAGTGTGTAATTGATTTTTCTTCGTCTTTTTCTTTATGCGCAGTAATCCTGTACGCGCGTATCCGCAGTTCACGGGAGCCGTCGTTCTGGTCACTTTATACTCTGCTGTCGTCGTTGCCGTTACACTACTGCATTCCTCGTGGGACGTTGCCGGTCAAAATCAGTGCAGTCGTCACCATCGCAAGTATCATAGGCCAATTTTATATTGTTATTGTTTATGTCATTATTATTATAATGTGTTATTCTATTGACAATAAATCGTTGTTGTATTCCTTAACTAATTGATTTATAATAATATTACTTTATCTTAGTGATTTCCTAAGAACCAGTCGTAAGGGGCTAACTGTGTACTATGCAGTGGCGGCTCGTGCTATAGGGCACAGGGGTACGTGCTCCACCTAAACAATTGAGAAGAAAGAAGAAAAATCTATATTAAATTATTAAAATTAAAATTGAATAGGTATTTCTTCTATCATAATATAAGTTGGTACTTGGTAGTTGGTATATTATGGAATATTATCGAAAAAATGTTTTATCAAATACGGGTGCTCTTAGATACGATACGTGTATACTATATTATACGCATTGGGCGGCGGGCACAACGAAGTTATGACCCAATGACCCGATCAACAGTACTAAATTTCCCCCCACTTTTCGATACGAATTAATACGGCATTGTCGGGCACAATCTGATTGTGCCCGAAATTCTATTTTTATTACGATTTACAAGATTTTGTTGGTCTTATTGCCTTCGTTTTGTAATTCTCGACCGTCTTCCGTGGAACAAAATTTATATTTTGAAAACATGATAATAATTAATCATTATTTGTTCATTCTAATCATTCTGTTCAGTGTTCTTTGTTTATTTTATTAAATGTTTTATACTTTTGTTCTGTCATTTGTCGGTGCGCTTTTCTATAAGTTTATAAAATAAGTATTTTTACTATTTAGTGTATGATGGCATAGTCTATAGTGATTAATACCTAATTTATTAAATATTTTTATTATTTTTCAACATGGGTACATATATTACGGTCGAGCATTTACTGAGATCAACTTTTCAAGTTTACCTCTTGAGAAAAATATTGAAATAAAAAAAGAAGGTAGGACAATGCCAAATTTAAATATAATACAAATTAAAAAAACAAAATCCACAGAATTTAAAAGAAGTTTTAATACAGGCGTTTATTCAAAACATGATTGGTTATGTAGTTGTTCTAAAACGAACCGTTTGTTTTGTTTTTCTTAAATACTTTTTTGTCGTACTTCTGGTGATAAAAATTGGTTACAAAACGGAATAAATGATTTAGCTCATTTGAATGATGAAATTGGTACACACATAAAATCAAGTTCACATATAAATGCACATTTAAATCTTAAACTTTTGGATATACAAGATATAAGGAAAGAATTTTCAAATGCACTTAGTCTTAGTATACAAAAACATAATGAAACTGTAACTAACAACCAATATATTTTATCTAAACTTATTGATTGTATCAAATTTTGGGGTGCATTTGAACTTGCTCTTCGAGGGCATAAAGAGAAGTCAGATTCTGAAAATCCAAGAATATTTCGCGAACTTATTAATTTTAGTTCTGAATTAGATAATAATTTAAAATTACACCTTGAGCAATTCACAGTATTTAAAGGCCTTTCTAAAATAATTCAAAATGAAATGTTGAAATGTACACTATTTGTTATTCGACAAAATATTAAAAATGAAATAAAACACGCCGATTCCTTTTCTGTTATATCTGACAAAACAACAGATGTATCAGCACAATTTCAAATGTCCATAATATTTCGTTATATTTTATCCAATGGTACGCCAGTTGAGAGATTTTGGAGATTTTTTAATCCATCTGGACATGAAGCAAAATCACTATCAGAGTGCATAAAATATAACTTAAAAGATGTAACAGAAAACCACGACAAATTAATCTCGTAAAGTTATGATGGAGCTGCTGTGATGAGTGGTCGACTTTCCGGCGTTCAAAAACTCATAAAAGATGAATATAAAAATGCACACCTTGTTCATTGTTATACCCACCAGTTAAATTTAATCTTAAGTCAAGCTACAATGCACAACCGTGAAGTAAGAATTTTTTTTTCCAACTTGACTGACGTAACTATTTTTTTTTCTAATTCTCCGCAAAGAGTTGCCGTTTTGGATAAAGTTGTTAACCATAGAATCCCTCGAACAATGAATACTAGATGAAACTTCAAAAGCCGTATTGTTAATATTGTTTACGAAAATCGTGAGTTATTAGTAGAATGTATGGAAGAGAACGAAAATACATTTAATCAAAATATTGCAATTAATCAAGCGTGCGCTATTATACGTAAAATGTTAAATGATGAAAAATTTTTTGGTTTGAAACGTTTTGGTTAAATGTTTTTCATTATTTAATGCCACATGTAGATATATTATATTACCAGTTGCAAAAACGGAAAATTGACTCTATTGAGGTGAAAAAAGCCATTTCTCGATTTGAAGAAAATATTTAAAAAGAAAAACGAAATTTCGATAATTTCGATAATTTTCAAAATGAAATGCCAGGTGAAGTAACTTAATGTAGACAAAAAAGAAAACGTGATGATGATACACTACTTTCTAGAATTTTTGTTGCAAAAGAAGTCTGTGATTTTCTTATTGTCTGCGTTAAAGATAGGTTTGAATATAAAGCTCATTTAAACGCGTCTTTATTATTTATGTCCACTAAATTTCCTTTATATGAAAAAAGTTTTCCACAAACATATGTTGATGAAATATTTGAAGCTTACCATTTTTTAAACAAAAATTAACTGCAAAATGAATTGGAACTTATATATAAACGAACAAATTTTCATAGCATAATAGGTGCTGTTAATTTACTACAGTTTATTATTGATAACAACTTGAAACATATATTTTCAGAAAATTTAAACTTATACGTATTATAGCAACAATATCTATAACATCTGCAGAAGCAGAAAGATCATTTTCGACATTGAAGAGGATAAAAACATTACTTCGAAATAATATGGCAGAAGAGCGATTAATAGCATTAGCGATGTTATCGATTGAAAAGAAAATGGTGAATCAAATACCAAATTTTAATGAAGAAGTCATCAAAGTATTTATGAAGAAAAAAGACAGACGAATCAATTTGGAATACAAAAATATAACTACTGCATAATATTGTGTTAAAATTTATAATTATTGAACCATAATAGTCTTTGACTGAAGGCTAATAAAAATAAAAAAATAAAAAATTATAATTATATTCTATTACATATTATAACGGTATAATAATTATATTCAAACCAACATTTTTTTTAAAATTAATTGTTGTACAAGATACTTTATAAGTGTATAAGGTTTTGGCATCAAAGGTATCAAAAAATGTAATTTATTTTAATTATAAAAATCAACAGGAACTGATGGTAAGTTCAAAGTTGTCATAGTGGAAAAAAAGGAAATATTTGTGCCCCACCTTTAATAAACCCCACGAGCCGCTACTGATACTAAGAGATCTTTTCGGCGAACAACTATTATCAAAAAAATATACGTTACTCACCAACTCAACGGATCCATAATGACGTCTGCTAAACACTCCACGCCGAGATATGAGATCATTAGACGAAGACCTAAAAAGTAAAAAGTTACTTTCAATTAATATTTTTCATAATTTTCGATCGTTGAAAGATATATATTTGTATTTTATCCGTGGTAATATATTTGACGCCATTGACTGCACTTGAAATTTTACTAAAATAGTGGTCTCAAACTCAAATTACCAACGGGCCATATATATTTACGTCAAAGGTTCACGGGCAAAACCCATATTTTTTTTAACACATTTTAATATTAAATCTAAAATAAACAAAATAAATTAAGACAAAATGTATTTTTTTTATTGATTATAATCATGACAAAAATGGACATTGTAGTGTGTATTGATTTTTTCTTAATAATAATAATAATTTATTTTAATTTTCTAGCTGCAATTAACACTTGAAATTTCTTATTTTGTACCAGATTGTTAAAATATAAAATATATATATATAATGTATATGTGGTAACGTAATATGTAATAATTCCAAAAACTGTTATCACACAATTAGTTTATTTTTTTATTTTTATTCGTAGTTCATTATAAAAATATGAAATGTATGGGTACACGCACAAATCAGAACTCTAAGGATCCCTTACATCTGAACAATTATTTTCTTTATTTTATATTAGTTTAATTACATATTAATCAGAACACTGAGATATATCTAATACATTTAGCATAATAATTTTTATATTTGAACTGTATTATTTATTTGCAATAACTGATACTTTGGTTAGTCATAAATAAATACAAAAATTATCGAAGTTTCTATTAAAAATTAAATAATATTCAGCATGTTCTCATGAGTATTTTGGAATTAATTACTAGAAAAATGTTTATAATATATGCTTTAATGTAGTCATTTAAGTTATTGTGTAATAGTACATTATACTAGCTACTTATGACCCGAGATCTGACCTCAATTCAAAAATTAAATAATTTTCAATGAAAAACTATGAGTGTTATAAGTTCACTCATGGTAGGTAGATAAAACATTTTTCGTAATTCTAATTAATTCGTTAAACCTATAATTAATTTTATATGTGACGCTGAGATCGGAATGATATTAATTAATCGGCTTTAAGAAACGTTAAATTATATTATTTTTAAATTATCAATAAAACCAAGAGTTAGTATTGGCATCGCATCACAAAATCATATTTCTTGGATTTCTATTGATTATCAGATAGTTTAATGTGTGCCACAGCTTATGTTATATAATTTATAACTAAAATAGGATATGGTATTTTACGTACACGTAATATTATTATTTATATAAGCATTTATATTATAAGCGCTGAGTCTACCACGCCACTGTAAAATTATTATCAATGTGTGCTGAGTGAATTACCCCAAAAAACTGACTGCTAAACCCGAATGTAAAAGTACCTTCGTACATTTTTTGTTCAAGGTCTCTGCAAAATTAAATTTCACTTTAAAATAAAAATTCATACGCATACATCAAAATCTTCGAACGAGAAACAAATACATTTCACACCATCATGGGCTGCCACATTTCAGAAGATGTTTATAACTAAACTAATTTTTGATATTTAAAACTGTCTTCTTTGAATATTTATAGTTTTAAAAACAATGAAAATATGAGTTAATAGCTAATAGTTATAAAATAATTTATCCAAAAAGTTCTTTTTATCATTAAACTTTAATAAGACACCATTAAAACGGTGTTCATGGTTAACTCTCAAACATTGTTTTTTCCTTGTTATATCTACAGAATACAAGGAACAAATTATACTTTTCTTTAACAACATAAAACCAAAATATTTTGCATGAATTATCCCAACATAAAATTTTACTAATTAGGTTATACATATAATTGAATGCAAATGTTCTCAATAACACTGATTTATATTATTAACTTATTAAGAAATGGACGATTGTAAACTCCGCCAGTTTTATTGTGTTTTGCCTGTGAATCCTTTCATAGTCATCTGAGAAATTAATTTTATAAAAGTAAAAAAACAGTAAAACAGGTACTTATGGCCAGCGGCGGATTAGCCCGCCGGGATACCGGAAAGTTCCCGGTGGGCCGGTAGTCATATTATAATACTGGGCCGATGTACTTGAATTAAAAATAATTTATTTAAGTATATTATATTTAATTGTAAAATTGTGATAAAAATCTAGTGTAAACGTGATGTAAACAGTTCTACGAGCAATTAATCCATGAATAAATGAGACTTTTATGGAAAATTATTATTATTGGATGGTGTGCCGGTCTTACGGTAATTTTCCGGGCCGAAATATTTAGCTAATCCGCCGCTGCTTATGGCGGAGTTTACATGCAACCTAAGAAATACTGGTTAGTCCTTAACATTAACTACATGAAATAAAAGTAATATTTAATCTAAATAATCTAAAATGTATATTGTTTTAATGCTAAATAAAAATACTGGATGTTTATTAACATACCATGTATTAACATAAAATATTTTATCAACAGATATTCCTAAGATTGTTTTATCTGAATTTATAGCTAACGAAAGCAATTATTTTTTCAAATGAAAACTTAATTTTATTTATTTATTATTTTTTGTTTATTCTATAATTTCATTCAATAAAAATATGATAATATAATTAATTAATTTTAAAGACGATTTAGATCGACTATATAATTTAATTTTTATTCAAAAGATAATCATGTAATTTTGGGCACTAAATATGTCCTTCTTATCAATTAACGTTTTATAAATTCGTTCTGCAGACTAATGAGTCAAAATACATCAAAAATAGAAATATTAATAATCAAAATTAATATTTTAGAAATTCAAATCTAACCAAATGGGGATAACGTTCAATGTAATTTAATTAATAAATGTTGAACTATTGGGATAAAACTTTTACGATAGTTTTATTCCTTCGGATGAACAACATTATAATTAACTTGCTAATGTTGAAAATAAAATATATTTCCAACAAGCTCCTGAAAGTTATGAAATACCATACAGTTCTTACTACTAGAAAAATCAATAACATTAAATTTTCGAAAATAAATAAATAAAAATAACCATTTAATTTATATAACTAAGGATTAGTCCGTAAATTATACTAATATAATAATCAATCAAAACAAAATAGGCATCAACCAAAAACGAATAAATCAGTGTACCGTGTTCATTAAGTCTTAAACAATAATGTTTTAAATTATATTTAAAACAATATTTTATTCGAACACGCTTAGATTACGATGAAAAAGCTATCAGTTTTCATAAATATCTCAAGATTTTTAAATCCTCATGATATTTGCACATGTTGCAAATTTCGAATTATAAAATCGAGCGTTCAAAAGAAAATATCCAAGCACTTGAATGGATGAATGTTAACGCTTATATGCACTTTTATAACACAAATGGATAGATAAATTCAAATTTTCTACATGAATTAATATCGTAAAATATATAATTTTATGTACTCGAAAAAATTCATAAGTATTCACATTAATATGAATTAAAAAAAAAAAAGAAGTAGATAAAATATGGATTCCGCCTTTGATTTCAGTAATAAATATAAAGTAGATTCGCTGCAACTGTGTCATTATTTTTTAACGTAAATGGTTTTTATACCTTTATTTACTGTTATTGATTCAACCAGTTATTATTATAGAATGTGTTACATTATTTTTAAGTAAAAATATTTTTCAAAAACGAATATTATTATTAGAATTTATGTGAACTAGATATTTATAAATTATGTTTAATAAAATTATATTAAATTCACATTAATAAAATAAAAGAATTATCTTACGTTATTATAAAAAGTATATGTTAATGTTTAAATAAAGTTTATTATCATAAATATTGACTAGAAAATATATGATTAATATGTTTACCATACTCTTAGTAGTATAAAATAATTTTAATGTATGTTTTGGTTTTCTGTTGAGATTTATTTTAAGTATGAAACGTCCAACTATTTTTAAGACTTTTTTTTATGGACACTCAAAAATACCAAAATACAATAGTTGGTGAGGTAGAGAATAATAATAAAATATAAATGTTCTTAAATATTGGAAATAAGTTAACTTTTAGTATCGAAAAACAGAAGACCAGAATGAAGCTTAAACGAAGGACAGATGAATCAGTCTTAAAATAGCATATTTTACTTTTTTTGTAGGTAATTCTGAGTATCAAATTAAAATAGTAGTAGTAAAATTTTTAAGTTGGGTTGGAAACAATCTTCTGAAAAAAACTTATAAATATAACTATTGAATAAGCAAGTTAATTAAATTTCTCTGACTAGCTTATTAGCTTTAAAATTGAACTTAAGTATTACAATAAAATTTCTAATAAACTTTTATTATAAGCAGTGGCGTGCTTAGAGGGGGAGGTTAGAGGTTATATCCCCCCCATTGAGTTTGTTTCCTGTGGGATTAACTAATATGTTTTTTTGTAATAATACCTACATACCTAATTTCATATAACGTAATATTATTATTTTATTCTATAGGTGTCTCAAAAAGAACACACGATTTAAATCTTACAATAAACTTGATGAAGCAATGTGTGATTGAGTGATGGTAAATTTTATGGAGAAAATAATTGCCTGTAGGGCTAGTAGAGAGAGTCATATACCTGATATTGTTTTTCACTGTTAAACCTTAACTTCTTGAAGAACATGATTTATTTGTTAATTTTTTTTTAAAAAAAATAAATTTAATTTATAGCTGATTTAAATTCTACGTTATTTTTTAAATACCCAATATTATGTGCTATATTTACTATTTAGTATAAAGCACGTTTAGTATATTTAATGGCCGTTGTTTCATGAAAATTAATATAGGCAATCAAACATAAATTATGGTTGTACGATTATACAATATAAATCAATTGAAGCAATATTGTTATCGTTTTTTTATATTATATATTATTGACTAACCACCAAAAACGTAGTATAAAAATATTCATCAGTTAATCGTATAAATTGTGTTCTGCTGAAAATTATTAAGTATATTTTATCTACATATTTGAGTATTTTACATTTGTTTATTCAGTTAAAGTTTTTTATGATGTCAAAACGGGACGGAAAAATTGAATCATATTTTTCCAAAAAACCTAAAATGTTCAAATTGTAAGTTGATTAGATTAGCCTTGGTGAATATCTATCAAAATATACACTTGAAGATTGATGATGTTCTAAATGAACTGACACAAAAGCTAGGCTTTTAAATTTTCGCCTACAATAATTTAATGTTTATATATATTTTTTTATCAATTGTTTTGTATTTTTTTTTTAAATTGTTTGTAATTTAAAAGTAATAAAATAATTTAATCAATAAAATGTTTGATTGTATACTTATAAATAAGTAGGTATACTTTTGATACTCTAGCTACTCTTGTAGCTTTTGGTGGTATAATATAGTCACATTAAATTAATAAAATAGTAATTTGTAGCAAATTAAAATGTACTTTTAAGTTGAAGTTACAATTATTAAGATAATGATTAAAAAAAAGTTAGAAAAATGGCATTTTGAACGTAACGAAAAAATCTTATTAAAATGTACCAGGTTGAACTATTATATCCCTACCTAGATTTAGTTTGCACTCCACCACCAGATTACATTCTCTCCCTCATAGGAAATTCCTGGGTACGCCACTGATTATAAGTACTAACGGTGATAATATATATGAGTAAATTGTAGTGAAGTTAAGAAAGGACTTCTCTCAAAATTATTTGAAAAGTAATGTATTAAGTATATTAGTTTTCAACTATTATTATACTGTGACTTATATCTTAATTAACGATATGCATGGAATTTTAACTCAAATTGATTTCCTTAATTAACACTCTTATTATAGTTGTAGGATAATACAGTATACGATATTCAGGAAAATGAAATGTAAAGAATCTAATAAATATTTTAAATATACATTACTGAATCAAGTGTCATAATAAGTAATTAAACTGAATTTTAAATATAATATATGTTAATATATTTCAAATTGACATAATTTACTAAAATTTGTAAGCCCACGAAAAACACAAAAATTAAACTATACGTAATAAACTATGTTTGGTAGATATAATATTTCAATATGCAAATAACAACTGAAGATTTATTCCATTTAATGATAATAATATAATATAATGCAATGCAGACAATATCAGATTACAACAATAATCAGTTCAAAATAAATAATCAGAAACAATAATACAGTTATAATAAAGTATACCTACTATGAATTATAATTTTAATTTAACAGATATTAACATCTTTAATGATATACTACATTAAGATATATAAAAATCTGGCACATCGTGATTATAAAATTAAAATCTTACATTAACCCAACGTGTAATTTAAACATAAACAATTTTTTTATTTATAAGATTACATTTTAATGGCATTAAAATAAATAATAATGTATCATTAAACTAATTTATTTTCTCTAAAGAAAATAATGTAGTAGTCTAATAATACTTCATTTTCTATTACTAAAAAGTGGAACATTTACTAAGTTTAATAAATAAATTAATAATAGAAAAATATCTACATTAAAAGTATTCAGAAATTAAGACTACAATCGTTGAATTATAGAAATATTTTGGTTTTAATACTTCATACTAATGGCTAATTGTCTGTATATTTGTTTACTGTTTATATAGTCTCTATTAGAATAATTAAAATATATTCTACTAGATTTAAAGTTTAAAATTCAATAGTATTTAATATATTTAAATATTTTACTTATGTATGTAATTTTGTTTACAATTTACAAACGCTTTAATTTTTAGATTTATACTTATAAGTTGCTAAATCAAATACACCCAAAATATGATTATTTTGATTACTATTACGCGAAATAATATTGAACAGGATTAATCGTTAGCCAAAAAGCAGTTTATTAGGATTCCTATAAAATTCACCAAAATAAGTCAACGCTGTGTCCGAGAAAACGATAAACGAAAACGAAATAAACAGAAAATACTTACAACGCGGACGAGGCCCGCCTTCTGTTGAGATCTCTGGTTGGTATAGCGGCCGGGTGTAGGAGCGTGGCCAGGCCCAGCCGTTCGACGCACAGTGACCTAGACCGGTCCCTGGCGGTCACCGCAGTGACGTTCGCGGATGGAGTACGCTGCGGGGCAGCCGCGACGCTCAACCGCCGGCCACCGGGTAACGTGGACGGTGGGGGTGGCGGTACCGATTGCTGGTGGCCACAGTCCCGGTTTTCCACGCCCCGGAGCCGCGACACCAGCTTCATGGTGGCCGACGACGGTGGCCGTTCACTACCACCACCACCGTCGTATCCGTCGCCGGCGTCACCCGCTGTGGCACCACCGACGGATGACCGCCGACGCCACGATCGAGAACCCGTGTTGAAAATATTAATAAAAATTTTCACCCGACTAGTTATTTGGTATCAGCGCTTAGGGACGCCCTTTTTTAATCGGCGCTTTCGACTTTCGACTCTTTTCTACTGCTGTTACACCGTCATCGTCGTACACGTTAGTGTCTCTGCTCTGTTGGCAACGTCAACTGTTCGAAAAACACTTAATGGTTATTTCGTGAGACCACAGGCGCACGCAACGAGATCCAACCAAATTTATTTTTCATTAGGTAATATTTCAAGTGGCGGACATCCAACCAACCTAATCAGATTCGACCCGTCTAACCTACTCCAACTTAACCCATCCAACCTTACGCTCATTTTGGTTCGATTACCATGCGTAAATGGTAAAAATACCACTTGAGAAAAATACAAAAACATCGGTAGCAGATCTGGAAACGACTTTTTACGGAACTAGCAGGTTTTTCTTTAAAAAAAAAAAAAATTACTGTGTATATTGAAAATCCGTTGAAAAACAAATTTGGTGATATTACTTACAATATATTATATTATATATTATGCTACACAATTATTTACGATAATACCTGTATTCATACGAAATTAATTTTTAGAAAAAATTTTGTTTTTTAATAGAAAAATATTGTTGTTGAATCTTAGCTGAGGAATTTTAACTGTGAGTGAAATGTTAGTTAATAAATTCTGTAATTTTATGGTAATTTAATATGTTGCCCAATACCAAAATTCGCAATTTAATAACAGAAAACTAATTATTTATTATTGTTACTAATCAAAAGTCACATTTATTATTTATTTATTAGTGCAATATGGCTGAATAATTTCAAAACTAAAATTAAATAAAATTAATTATTGAAAAAAATAATTTTTCCTATACATACATCAGTATACTAAAATGTTGGCTTTTAAAATGATAAAACACTATTTAAAAATAATAACGGAATGTTTATATTGTAGTAATAATAAACATTTTTATAAATTCTTATAAAAGCATTAATTTAAAGGGCAGGTAAAATTGTATGGTATGACTATTATTATGGGCGCTGAATGTAGAAGTGGTTGGATTTTGAAAATAATGACATAAGAAATATAGATTTTTATATACAGTTCTAGATTATAAACATAGAATACAATAAAAAATGTATATTGATGTAGTGTTTTGAAATAGTATAAACCTAGGTACATAATTCGCATATAATATATATAAAATATTATGCTATATTAAATATAAATCATATTTTTCTACACTAAAATCTACCTTACAACTACATCGTACATACATGGAAAATAAAGCCCCATTGTGACTGCGGCCAAATACTAACTATCAGACACATTGTGGAGGAATCTCCTCAAACTAGAGACAAGGGAGAAATTGAGGGATTTTACAAGAGCGATGACGAAATAATAGATTTGTTGTCTAAGACTAACATTCGTCTTTAAATATATTATGAGCTGTTATTATTTTTCTTATTGTAAAATTTATTAGCATATTGTAAATCTATCTACCCTAGTTCTCGTCATTTTATTAATTTAATGTTTATTTATTTTTGTTTTTCATCAATATATTTACGCTATATATATATAAAAAAAAAAAATCTTTTAATTTACATTATAAAAGTATAATAGTATAAAATTGTCAGCTAAGAAAATCGTGAAAAAATAAGAATTCACCGGATAAATCAAGTTTTCTATGGAATGAATATGTCATTAGAACTTTAATTCAAAAATAAAAGGACATAAATATAAATTTATAACGATTAAATAATATCTATAGTTTCAATGTTTTTTAATATTTCATAGTTAAGTTCAAGGATATTTTTTTAATAATTTTTTCAATATACTTAAAAATAAATTTACTATCTGTGAATTCCTAATTTCATGAAATTTAATTATAGAATTTACTTATAAAGTGTAACTAAAAAGTTACGGAATATAGTGAAAATTACATAATTATGGTATTTTTCTAGTTGTAGAATTCAACAATTGTTATATACAACGTTACAATTAATCTTGGTTTCTAGCATGTTGTCATAGATTTAATATGGCATGAATCCTATAATTATTAAGGAATTATAGAATTTGTAGTTAAACTATATTATTATCATGTAATATTTTATACCTCATAATTAAATAACATAATAATACGATTATTTTTTATAGTTCTTAAAATGTATAAAAAAATTTTAAATTATCATGTAAGAGGTAGTAAGTAGATAATATTTATGATGTCAAACAGTTATTTTAGTATATAAACTAAAAATATATTAGGTAGATCAGGTATATAATTATCAAAAAGTAACAAAATCTTCTTAAAATATTTAAAAAAAATTAATTAATAGTAATAATATTAATTAAATCACAAACTTTGTAAAAAGATAACTATTTATTTAATATAAAAGCATATTTTGTATAATAGTTATATAGTTTTGAGGTTCTTGATTACTAATAATAATTCCATTAAATATGATGAAATAAATTGAAAATTATAATTATAAATATTATAGACATACATTGGTTAATACTTTTGATTTCATAGTAAATCTCATTAAACATAGAATTACAAACAAATAAGTTTCATGGTAATTCCTAAGTTTATGGTACGTACATATAAATATATAATTAAAATGTAATAGTAAAATACCTAATTTAAACATTAATCACGGGTGATAAATAATATTTGCTCTTGTTTAGAACTATAGGAAACAGATAGATTATATATTTTAGCTATTGTTATTGTATACGGTATTATATACATAAAGTAACAGTTATTAAATTAAAGTTACAATCATAAGTACACGCAATAGAAATTTAAATACACCATTTCGCCGAGAGTGTTATTAAATTCATGAATAATTAAAGATTTAATATAATACGAACAACGTGAACTTGTATTATTAAATGTTGTATAAATTTAGTTCCTTAATTTATTATAATAATTCAGATTGTTATAGTCATGCTTATGTGACAAGTCCATATAGATGTATTTGTATGTGTATAGTGTAAATAATATAAACATACACATATACACATAAATATTTATATATTTATAAAAGTACTCGTCAAAAGTATGTGAATACATATATCATGTATAATATTAGCATGTGTAATATAGTAACGATGACAAATTAAAAGCTAACAAAACAATTGAGAAGTTTCGAAAGATGAAACATCGAAATAATTAAACATTATATCTTCAAATTCGAGTAAATTGAGTGGTTTATGTATAACAAACTACCCTACGGGCTCGTACTGTATAACAAAATGCTATTTTAGTCACATCGAAATTTGTTAACCAAATCTTAAGGTGGATGTGTTGAACGGTTCCAATATTATAATTACTGCCCCGAAGAGTCACGTAATAATATAAGCATGGTATCCACAGCGTTTCTATTCGCAGTTACAATGTGCGTAGTAACAATGCACGTATTGCGATGTGCGAGAATTAATTAAGAGCTAAATTCAACAAAACAAATGTATAAATATAATATATTCAGAAAAAAAAAGTAAAAGAAAGAGAGTAAGAGAAAGAGAGGGAAGAGAACAATCACTCAGTGGTATGATGTGATATTAGAGGAACGTTAGATATTATTTTCTGGCATGAAACGTGCGTCGACATCTGAGAGAAAAAACAATCTGCGCTAGTCGTGTAAATCATTTCACGCGTATACGTCAAAATTCTGCGTAGGTGCTGCTTTTTATCTGTATCCGACGTGTTGTTGAAAACGTCGATAAGAAACAACGGTATATTGTGCACGCGTAATATATTAAACATACGTCAGTTTACGCTGCATGTGCGTGGTACAATACAAATCCATCTGATGAGGGGTGTGGCTAGAAAAATCTGAAATCGGCCGTTAAATGATCGGGAAACTCTCCGGTTGCGTGCGTGTCGGGTCTGTACGAGAAAGGAAAATCGCGAGACTGTGCGACGCGGGGCGCGTTAATGTTCTTCTTTTTTTTTCATTCTTATGAAGCTTACACCACAAGAATTAATAACGAATAACATGTTCAAAGGGGTTGCGGGACAGGCACGAGTGTGTGAAAAACATGGACGTAACTGTAAGGATGGCGGTGAGGAACGGTATAATGGAGACGGCGGAAGCACTGGTTGTGTATATATACTGTGCGACCGCAAACAAGTGTTGCTGCCAGCTGAGCTGAAATAATCCGTGAAACGGTATACAGCGAAAAGGACCCCATTTGTCATGTGTCGAGTGACGCGATAGAACGGGGCGAGGTGTAGAGTAGTAGTAACTCTAATTTGTGTCGGTTACGCCGCGAAGGACGAGACGAAGCACGCACAAGACGCTGCATTTCGAGGACGATTATTACCTTGGAATCCTCGGAATGTCCGATACGCATCCCGTAAGATGGCGCATTACAAATTTTCCGATGGAAAACTCTAGGTGATTGAGGTGAAGATGGCGGAGATGATTGTAGTGGTAGTTTTTATGATTATCGCGTTAACTTGGTAGTATAGTCAACGAAAACGATGCTAGACAAAAATCACAAGAATAAATAGTGATGTTTCAAAATATGATCTACGTTTTTAAACGTTCACAGTTTTCATAATGGTTGGGTGAAATTTTGTGGAGATGTAATAGGCACAAAATAACAGAAAATATTTGGATTAAAAAATATAGTAAACGAAGAAAATACATTTTTCGAGAAACTAATTGCTTGAATGGAAATTAATGTTTCTGTAGCTATAGTTTGTACAATTTAACGTTAATTAATTTTTAATGGACGCTAGTAGAAATTAGATGCATATTATACAACACAGTAACAATTGACTTGTGAAAATAGTTATATATAATATGATAATTAGTTGGGTTAACTATCATAGAAGACCGATACGAGATAGCAAAATATCTCAAGTCGAACAATTTTAAAAAAAATTCCGAAATTACATTTCCAATAAGACTAAATATTTATTAAGTTCATAATTAATTATAATATTAAATTTAGTAAAATAGAAAGTGATTTTCAATATTCGTAATAAAATATTTCCAGGGAAAATTTTTTTAAAAATATATTGTTTTTAAATAAAAAATTAATTAGTATTAAGATCAACTCAACCGAAATAGGTTCAAAAACCTAGATTATTTACTTGGATCAAATCCAAATAAAAATAATCTAATTCTTAACGTTCTAATATGAAATGATTTATTTA